TTTTGTTGTTTGCACATCGCTTGGAGAAGGCAAATAAACACACCTTGGGTATATCATGTATGACATGGTACGCATATGATACGCAAAGCAGCCGAATCGCTGAGAGAAAGACACCACAGAAAGAAGATAATATACAATACCCTCAGCCGTAAAAAACAAGCACCATTGAAGTTTGGAAATGCGCGGGCCCACCAAATCACTGTTTGACAACACTCAAGGGAAGGGATCTTTGCAACATCACATTCGGAGCTCCACAGCACACCCGCCTTGTATACCGGCAAGATTTCATCCGCCACTCCTTGCAGATAATACGTTTATCAAGTTATAACTCCCTATACCAACAGCAAAATGCTTTTAGGAAGAATAACATACAGAAAAAATGGTCCGGCTTAGAATGTGCCTACCAACACTGCAACAAACATGATGCCTCCCACCCTCATCAGCCAACGCGACCCAACTAGCACAAGTGCATGTGCGTAATTCGCATGGTTGTATCCCGACTCGGTTCCTGGGATTTCGACCACGCACCTGCGCCAAAGAGAAGACGCACGAAAATCAGAAAACTCCCAGTTTCAACAAAACGAAACAGCCAGGAATAGTCACAGCGCCGCACACGATCGAACGGCCAAACCAACATACTGGATACAGCAGCGCCCCCCACACCCTGAACCAAGACCGCGCCACCCTGCACGCCTCCGGGTGCCAAGAGCGCTCTTTTCACCATGACCCAAACCCGGCCCACACCCATGCTCGATATTTAAAACACGGTCACCCCCGGCTCCGCAAAACCCCATTCTCGTCGCTCGGTTCGGCGGCCGGGGACCCTGGCCGGTTCGGAAGCCCGGCGGGGTCGACCCGCCCCCAGGGGCCACTGGGCCAACGCAGGAACCCCACGCCCCAGCGCGGCGGAACACCAAACGAGCCGCGCCTTCAGAGACCCGCCGCCCCGCCGGAACTTCTCTCGACAGCGGCTTCTCCACCAACGCGGTTCTCGAAACGGGCGGGGCTCCTTATCGCGCTCCTTCGTTTCAAAAGCCGAACAGCAAATCGGCAGCAAGGGCCTTCGCAGCCTTCGTGCCACGCAAGGCTCCGGCCATTTTTTCTTCCGACCACCAGGTCAGGTCACGGCATTCGCCTGTTTTATCGCACGGGCAATTTTCAAAATTTTAGCAGCGGGAGCCCACCGCGAACATCTACCAAGCGCCCAAAAGGAAACAGCTTTCTGGAGCCAGCCCTTTGTCCCACACACCGCGCCAAGAATCCCATATATTACGAACGAATTCCTTGGCGATGCCAATCGCCCCACCGCGGCGCAAAGGCCCGGCGCCCTTTGAGGAACGAGGGCCGACCCTGCACCAACCAGGTTGTGCGGGCCTGTTTGTCACGGCGCCAAGGTTCGGTACTCCGGTTTTGAGGGGGACTCTAAGAGCCAACACAGCTGGCATGAGGGTCTCAGGCGCCCCATGGCCTTGTACCATTGTGATTGCCTAGCACCCACCACCTTTTATTGTCAAGGGGGTTCCTCTCGCAACCTTCTGGTTAGCATCCGGACGCGCCGGTATAGCCTGCGAAGGCAAGGCAGAACTCTCTCGCCATTTCGCCCGATGTCTGACTAGCTATTTGGGAACACTCATACCACCAAGCAGGTGAAAGAACGAAACGCACGTGAGAGTTCTCGGACTCACAGCCACCACCTGGAAAGAGAGGGTGTGGCAATCGGGGTGGTTTTCAGAGGGTAGTGCTCTTCGTGGGAATCCTCTCAGCACGGTTCTTGCACCCGCTAAAATGCACTTCTACTTTCGCTCCCGCGTCGGGAACTCACAGCTGTTGGGGTTTTCCCCCAATTTCTGTCGGACATGTCAGCAGCTTCCATGAGGAACAAAAAAGAAGAGCAAGAGGAACCAAGACGATTTCACGGAGAATGGCATCCCCCAATGAAGGCAAAGCAGCTCCCACACACTCATACAGACGCCAAGAGACTGCCTTCACACACGCCTGACGACGTGTGGAAAACTTCACACTAGTGACACAGCAAAATTGCACCTTCGAAGTGTCAAAAACACTCCACAAGCTCCTCCCCCAACTGTGGCAAACTACTCACTTTATACTAGCACCTATGATATTGCTCAATAAACCTAAAAAAAAAAAGTAACACGCTCGTCGTAATTCATCGCTCCTACATAACGACAAAAACACACTAAAACAACGAAACAAAACTAAATTCAACAAAGCAGGGCACGAGAGCAATTCAGCAAGCGCGCCAGCCCCCTACAGAAGCACTTCTTCTTCCTAAAAGTTGGATCCTCAAAAAATAAATATATGCTCAGTCGTTTCGCCCCACGAGGTAGCAGATACAGACGCCCTACAGAAAGAAGCTCTCCTCGTGAAAGTGGGCGCCAAGGCGAAGAGCGACATCCCGCGCGCTCCTCACCAGGCCGGGGGGACCACACACGAACACCAACACCTCGCCGGGGGCCTCACTCGCAATGCTCCGCGGGATCTCAGCCGCAAGGTCGAGCCGCCCAGCCACCATGGGGACCCTCTTGTCACACAGTGTCGCGCAGCAGGGGTCACCAGTAAAGAACACGCGCACCGTGCTCGTCGCACCGGAGGGGCTGCGTGCACGAGCCTCAGCGCCAGACTCAGCGCCTTCGTCACTCGGCAAATCCATCACGTCCACGTCATCCCACAGGTGCGACATCATGGGCACAAGCTCGGCGTCACGAACAGTCCACAGCAGTGTCACGGCGCATCCCTGCAGAGACTCCATCCTCTGCTGCCGGAGGTGGGAGTATATTGCGGCGCAAGGCGTCACACCAATGCCACCAGCAACAAGCACAACACTCCGGTAGTCCTCGAAGTCCTGCACGCGACCACATGGACCATCAACACTCAGCGTGAAGTTGCTCCCGCGCTCGCACACAAGCTTAACAAGACGCCCCGTCCACGTGCCCTCGCCCATTGACCTGATGTGAAACGTGTAGCATCCATCACGATCCCCGCTCAAGCTGAACGGGTGCCACTGCAACAGCGACAGCTCGGGGATGTTCACAAAGGCATATTGGCCAGGAGCGGCGCTCAGTGCCGCGTGACGGAAGCGGAGGTCCACAAAGGAGCCGCTGGCAACGGCAGAAACCACCACCACCGCAGACGCACTGCGGTGCATACGCAGCAGCCGGTCCACGAACCATACAGTCAACCCGGGCAGGAAGTACTCCCACGCAGCGGCGGCGTGCCACAGAACCGTCGGAGCAATCATGTAGAACGCAGCCACGTGCAAGTAGTAGAACAGCTCGAAGAACCTGCGCCGCACGGGCTCCAGTGCAAACACACCCATCGCCAGAAGCATGAACCACGTCGTCAGCGTAATCAGTGGAACAGTAAAATTGTCAACATGTCCAGGGGGCTCCACTGGGGGGATGGAGAAGATTCCCCGTGGAAACATCCCCACCTCACTGTACCGCACGTACCACGCCACCATGTGGCCAGTCGTTGCCAGCAGCATGCCGTACCCCAGCACCTTGTGCACCCAGATCGACGACTCCCACGCCGTCCCAAGGATTGAGTGCAGCAGAGAGTTCCGGCTCGCGGGAAAAATGCACAGCGACAGAAACGCAACCGCGAGCTGGCCAAGTGACCGCGCCCACCGTTCTGATTTTCTCATGCCATCGTCTGCTCCACCGGTCCAATAAGAGTTAAAGTTATGTCCCTGGATCCAGTACAGGAAAAACAGCAGCAGCATCGCCGCCGTCAGAAGTGCAAAGCCCGCCTCGCCGTAAGTGAAGTCTCGCAGCAGGGGGCACCGCCGCTTCAGGCACCTGCGCCCACCACGGCTTGCACGAACGGCAGT